TCTCTCTCTCTCTCTCTCTCTCTCTCTCTCTCTCTCTCTCTCTCTCTCTCTCTCTCTCATATCGCTTCTTCGATTCTTTTTTCTTCTTCTTCTACGTAAGAAACTCGAGAACGAAACACGATTTCTTGATCCTTTAAGAGTTTCAACGCGTGCACACGCATTATCGATTCTTGTTTTATAAAATAGATCGATCGTTTTATAAAATAGATATATATGCATATATATATATATATATATATACATATATATTTTTCGATCGTTTTCAACCACATTATTCTTTCAAAAATGATTCTGTTGATCGACAGCGCGTGTGTACTTCGATTCGAGTGTACACTCTCGGCAACGGTATATCGGCTATACTTCCGGTTCTTCGTCGTCGTTGCCATCGATACGCATCGATGTCCCGTCGTATATCCCTATACAATAAATTTTGGTTATCCTTTCCTCGCTCCTCGTTTTATATATATATGTATACGTGTATATATATATATGTATACACGTCTCTACGAATCGTCCGATTCGAGTATTCAGAAATATTTCGCGGGGACGAATTTCGATCCGAAATTTTTCTGATTCAATGGCGTCTCTCCGATTCGGGGGAAAATGAAAATAAATTCGAGGGGGCAGGATCGTTTTTTAAGGCCTTTACCTCGAAGCCTTACTTAACATTATTTAATATATATCGAAAGGTCACATCGACATACATACATACATACATACGAGTCTGTACTGTGCTTCTATTTTCGGCCACCGATCATTAGCTGCTAAACGGCTACGTGCCTTAATTACGCGAACGTGGCGACGCTCGGTGCATTAGAAAATTTTCTTCGCCGTGGCTAGCTCTATCGGTATCGGTATATTAGGTGGGTGCAAAAGTTTCTTTTTTTTTTTTCTTTTTTTTTTTATCTCGCTTCTTACGTTTTCTACTCTCTTCGTCAATTGTAATCGAGCTTATTATGTATTATAATTAACGCTACGTGGTGACGATGAGTGCATATCCATTGTTCTCCCAAGTTTTATCTTTTTCTCTCTCTCTCTCTCTCTTAATGATCAAAGAAAAGAAACACCAAAAACAATACCTCGATTTTAAAATATCTTTAAAATCAAGCGAATTAGAAGGAAAATTATTAGATATAATAACGACGCAACTTTTTCAACCACCTAATACACGTATTGTTATATTATACGGATAATATAAATAAAGTAACGAAAACTGATCGGTTATCGAGGAAGAAGAAAAAAAAAAAGAAAAAAAAAAAGAAAAGAAAATAAAAGAAGATACGAAGGAAATATATAAATACGTAACTCGCTGTCGTGACACGAAATTCTATTTAACCATGAACGAGAGTGAAAATTAATCAAGGAATATCGTTCAATCCTTTCGCTCGTATGCGTAATCGTATCAATCAAACCTTTCGGAGAGAAAATTCG